GAGTCAAGAAGTCCTCAAACGAACCGCCAGATTCTTGATGCCAAATTGCCAAGCAGCTTTTGATAAAAATTCAAAACTCAAGGTCAGAACCGAGGGGCCCGTGAATTGTTCAGCCTCCCGGAAAAATCTGAACTTTTCAGTGCCCATTGGCCTTAAGGCACACGGTTTGTGTTACTTAATAGACATAAGCACAAATAAGACCACTGGGAAGAGCAAAAACAGCAGTAGCAACCCAAGCAAAACTGGACCAGCCAGGAATTCTGAGATCGGCGGTGTTGGGAGTATTGATGTTGACATGCAGATGTACATATGAAACATACAAAAACCCTGAACCCTAATGGCCGCGGAGGACTGATAAAGGAGCGCTTAAAATCAACTAAACCTTCATACATGTTGGTTTGGTTCCGGTCGGTACTGCTGTTGAAGATGCCCTCCTCCTTCGCCCATCTTGAGTGCGTGGAGCGGCCTACCCTACCTGGTAATATATGGGGCCTTCACAAGTACCGAACTATTTTGGGGGTTTCCTTATTATAGCTATAGTATAGAATACCCTAAACCCTAAACCCTAAACCCTAAACCCTAAACCCTAAACCAACCCTAGTCTGATTATTTAAGGCCCCTACATTAGGATGTTGAAGCCGAAAGAACGGGACTCCCGAGACTGGAACTCCCTGAGACCGCTGGGTTTAGGATTTAAAACCCCCCAAACCCTTAAACCGAAAACCGCTAAACCCCTAAACCCTAATTACACCCTATAAGCCCCTAAACCGCTAAACCCCTAAACCCTACACCCTATAAGCCCCTAAACCCTAAACCGCTAAAGCCCTAAACCCTGATCTAAGTGAAGGCTGCAGGGCGCCGATGACGTGACTTTGGTCGGCCTTGCGCTGGTCATGCGACTGGCAATCGCCTCCTTCGCAGTCTTCTTGTGCTGCTTCCTACTGCGCCGGGCCTGAATGCATTAGTATCAGGGTTCACGATGTAAATTCTAGACCCTAAACCTAAACCCCTGAACCCTAAACCGTAAACCCTAAACCCTAAACCCTAAACCCCTAAAGTCTATAGGGCTTTGCATTCAGGGTTTACGTTTGCGAGTCTGTGAGCTCCAGGATTGGCATCCGGCCTTTGTCAGGTTTGGGGTTCAGGGTGTAGGGGTTCAGGGTTTAGAGTTTAGGGGTTTAGGGTTTAGAGAGGTTCCGGATCTTGCAACATGCATACTAAATGTTAGATTAGGGGCCTTAAAGGTTACTAAAGCTTGTTTTGGGGGTTCCTTCTAATTAGGATATTTAGGATAAGTTTAACAGACTGAATGCTTTGCAAACAGGGTTCTCTTTTGCACCGAGTCAACTACTTGGGCCCACTCTGCATACTGTGATTTGAGTTCCAGCAACGAGGGACCCTATAGTAACCTAGTATCGACACCAAACGGTTAACAGCAGGATCCGTAAATGAGGGCTCACGTAGACTAAGCACTAAACCGTAAACCGAAGCCTTCTATTCCGACTGTAGCACGGTTTAGGGTTTAGGGTTTTAGGTTTTTAGGGTTTAGGGTTTTGGGAGGAAAAGGACCCATCAAAAGAAGAAATACCGAAGCTTTGCAAGGCTATCAGGGTCGACCCTGAGCTGCTAACCCAGTCATGAGTCAAAGCGGGTTTAGGGACTTGGGCCCCGAAACCCTGAACCCTAAACCCTAAACCCCGAAGCCCTAAACCCTGAACCCCAAACCCTAAACCCCGAAGCCCTGAACCTTGAATCCTAAATCCTCTTAAACCGGGCTTACAGAGGGCTTATAGGTTTTCTGGGGGGTTTCGGGCTTCGGGTTGAAGCCCCTCTGGAGTTCAAGCTTGGGAATCGGGCTTCAGGTTCGCTCCCATAAAACCTACTACCGTGACTCTTACACCACTCACAACGGCCCTAAACCCTTGAAACTAAAAGCCTTAGCAGCCCTACGAACCTAGTCCCCTAAACCCTGTAAGCGCTGAAAAACTCAGGTGTGGCTGCCGCCGCGGCGTGCCAGGGATCTCGAAGTGGGTTCGGGGTTCGCAGACAAGACCTCGTGTGGCCGATGTCACCAGGATCGCCGAACCTGTGGCCTGAGTTTAGTGCTTCACTCTGGTGGGTTAGTATGGGTTGCTGTGAGCTATCAGGTTGTTGCGGCCTGCTATGGAACATTATGGGTCTGGATTTCTTAGAGGTGGTAGGGTTTTCAGTGGCCTGGATCTTGCCGGATTTAGGCTTTCAGGATTCATCGGCAATAAATAGTATACTTCGTGCTTTATTTAAAGTGTGTTGCAGGGCCTCGGGCTCCACCCGGCATTTGAGGGTTCGAAATTGACTCAGGGGCCTCAATGCAGAAGCTTTCCAGGATGGTTTTCCAGCCCATTTTAAACGGGGCCCTCCTGCGAGAAGACGAAGCTGGCAGGCTCCATTGCAAGTTAAGTCTGGTCCCCATGATGCCTCAGTGTTTCGGGATTGGCGTGGCAGTTGGGTAGTGGGAGGTTTATCTGGTGGTATCACAATTAATTAAGAGGTTGGCATTCTCTCAGGAGCGAAGTATTGAATCATCTCACTTACAACGCGGGGTACCAGACATAATTATTTACTCATTCGTTGATCTTGAGCGTGCGATGGCAAAGGCCGTGCGCCCGCTCCGGATTCGCTTGCAGGTCAGCAAGCTGAATCCTAATACGCCGAAGTGTCCATGTGACTGCGACGACTTTTTCTCCTGAACCAACCCGTGCCTACACATGCTGGTGCCCCTTCTTGGAAATTCCTTGCAGCAAGGATCATCATTGGTCTTAAACCCTAAACCCTAAAAGCCCTAAACCCTAAACCCTCTTATTGTTTTGGGAGGAGAAAGAGTGTCAAATCCTTCCGGCTAGTGCCGCCCGAGAAGCTGGGAGTTTCGAGAACTACGCAACCGCAGCATGGACACCGCTCTGGGGTTTAGGGTTTAGGGTTCAGGGTTCATGGTTCATGGTTTAGGGTTTAGGGTGTCATGCTCAGATTTATCTTGAAATGTGTCAACGTATGTATTTATAAGATGTGCAGTTACATTTCACGCATGCACTTATGTTGTCTGTGCGCCTTGGGTTGTCGATCCTCAAGCGTATGTGTGTATATATATATATATGTATATGTGTGTATATATATATATATATATTTATTTGTTATAGGACTTGATCTGCTGCATAGACGCACTTCTCCGCACAACGGATTGCAATCCTGGGTCCTAGGTCCCAGAAACTCCTGGATGACCAGAATCTGAGCCGTTTTCTCGCATGACTTAGAAGCATGTCGCGGGGACCACCACAGAAGACCGCTCGAACTAAGACACACCACGGCATACCCACAAAGTCGAAGCCCAAAGCCTGCAACCCCTAACCCCGAACTCCTGAGCCGTCCGCAGCCCGTAAGGCCCGCACTTCACAAACCCCCAAACCCCGAACCTCTGAACGTAGCTGGCACCCCTAGTGAATCACTGAGCGGACCGAGCGGGCAGCTCGCCTCTTCTGTGCGTCCCTCGACCTGCCTTCAGATCTTTCAGGACCAACATAAGGGTTGTTCTTCCCAAAATAGAAGTTACGGCACCCTTAGAAAAAGGATGCTAAAAGGCCCTCTAATTTAGAGAGCTACCCTTGTAGAACCCTTATAGAAACCCTTATAGATCCCTTCAAGGAACCAAAAAAGGACCCCAACAAAATCTAATTTAGAGAGCTACCCATACCCTACCCTTCGGAGTTGAGGAAGCCCTGGTCTCCGCACCCGCAAGACATCGTTGAACTACGGCTTTCGGTGGAGATCATAAGATGCAAATCACGATCCCTAAACCCTAAACCCCGGAAGTCCATGATCCCTAAGCCCTATATAAAGCCTCCAAAACCATGATCCCTAAGCCCCAACACCATGAAAACCATGATCGCTTAACCCTGGCCCTGGTCCTGAAGGGTTGAAATCGCTTCTGCCCATGGATCTTAAGAAGCCATGGGACTGCTTCGGCGCCGTTGCGCCAGCATCCAAACTGCCGAAAAGCTGCTGCAACCTCCCCGAAGCCGCAGAACTGGAGGATTTTGGCCAGGCTGTAGGATTGAAAAGATTAGGGCCTAAACGTTATAAGCCCTAAACCCCTAAACCTAGGGAGTATGGAGCCAGATGCCTGGACGATCGGCCCTGAATCAGAATTCAAATCTCTCGCGGTCTAAACAGTACTGACATTAGGGCAGGCTGCCGCTGAAGAGTGGCGTAGAGGTCTGACTAATGGGTTTAGGGTTTAGGGTTAGTAGTAGTAGTAGTAGTAGTAGTAGTAGTAGTAATAGTAGCAGTAGTAGTACTAACATCAACAACAACGACAACAACAAGAACAACCAAAATGACGACGACGGCCATAATACTAACAACAACAAAAAATACAGCAATTTTGATAATCGCAACCATGTCGAAGATAAGATAAGCATGTCCCCTATTGGCCACTGCACAAACATACAGCCACGCACCCAAGCTATCTAGCACCCTAAACCCTAAACCCTAAACCCTAACCCCTAAACCCTAAACCCTATGGGAGGGCCTTAGGTGTCAGGGTGCATCGTCTTGTCGTATGAGGGCCTGGGTTTTAGGTTTAGGGTTTAGGGTTTAGGGTTTAGGGTTTAGGGTTTAGGGGACACTTTCACGGCTCGCGGTTTCGGAGAAAGCCCTAAACCCCCATACCTTGCAATGAATGAGGCGAAAGCGATCCTTGCAACCTTAAGCCATAATCCCGACAACCCCAGAGCCCTGAACTCAACAAAATTTGTTCAAACCCCTTTCAGAACAGTCTAGAAACACTTGATTCGATACATAATGCACAGTCTAGAACCCCGAAAGCCTAAACCCTAAAACCTAAAACCTAAAACCTAAAACCTAAACCCTAAACCCTAAACCCTAAACCCTAAACCCTAAACCAACCAACCAACCAACCAACCAAAACCCTGGGCCCTTAAGTGTTGTTTTTTTCTTTCTGGCAGGCCTGGGCCATGGTGGCAGCCCTGGCGGCCCGACTCCGACGAAAAGCAGTTGACGAGGTCCTTGGGGGTCGAACGGTTGATGGTTTAGGGTGTAGGGTTTAGGGTTTAGGGTTTAGGCTTTAGGTACCAATATACGGTTGATGATATAACTCCTGCGTTGCCCATAATAAAGAATACAGTAGACCATTATTCCCATAATCAGGAATATAGGGCTTAGGGTTTAGGGTTTTTGGGATTTAGGGTCTAGGGTTACCCATAATAAGGAATATACCATTATTCCCATAATACAGGTTCACCCTAAACCCTAAACCCTAAACCCTAAACCCTAAAGGCAGGTAATGCCGGATTTATATTATCAGTAGAAGGGCAGCAGTTCCTGCTTCAGTTCCTAGGTAGTATTAGGGAGACCCCTCAAAGGGGACCCTTCTTAGCCCTACTTATGGCTCTCTTAAAAGGGATCAGTTTGGGTGTTTGGGATTTGATTTAGGGCTTCAGTGTGGAGGTTTTGGATTTGATTTAGGGTTTGGGTGGCTGTAGCAGTTTACTTTACCGTTTGGGGCTGTGTCTTTCAGTGGTTTTGGACTTGAGGGCTCCTTGGCGCTGTTGTAGAAGTTTGGTTCATGTTGGTTCATGTTGCGGCTGGCTAGGGTGTGAGGTAAATAACCATTCGGAGCAGAATATTCCCCGAAACATCACAAAACGCGGTTCTAATCATGCATGACTGCGCTTCTACATTCAGGGGTTTGGGGCGGCCCTAAACCATGAGCTGCAGTGGGGGTTATGAAAGGGGGTTCAGACATTCCTTCAGAAATTTGACTCAGGGTTCAGTGTAAACTCTAAACCCTAAACCCTGGATGCACCTATATTATTTCGGGGGCTCCTTATTATACTTATAAACTATAAAGGACCTTGTACCCTCTTCTACTTATTACGGACGCCTACATTACTTGCACATGCCGGATATGACTTCGTAAGACACGCTGCTGCATTTTGGACCAGGTACAGCGACTGGCTGGCGTGGCCGGTGTTGGGAGAGGTGCGCATGGGTAACATAAGGGCCTGTATAACCCTAACGGTCCATGTACCCAAATAGTATATACTTTGTCCTTAAAGTAGTCCCTATATAGGTACTTTGGGGCCAAAGTATATGCTTTTTGGGTACATGGACCCTTAGGGTAATTAGAATAGGGTATTGGGGTATGTTATACTACAACAATAATTACAAGCCCCCCAAAATAGTACTGGTAACTATTGAGGCCCCTACATTAGAAGCTGTCGGGTAGGGTTTAGGAAGAGAGCCTTGCAGAGAGCCATAACCACACGATGTATGCTCATTACACATGTGGGTGGTCGTCAAAATTATGGTCCCTTTTGGGGTACCCTAAATAATAGGTGCCGTATTATAATAAGGACCCAAAAAGGGACCCTAATTTTGACAACCACCCATGTGGGACATGGTCTGCACGTCACTTACCCCCAAAACAAGTTCAGCACGGGCATGATCTCGCAACCCTAAGCCCCCAAACAAGCATCAGTGTTTCGAAGCATGGGCCTAGAGATGTTTCGAGGCAGCTCATTTCAAAGACTTGAAGGCTTGGAATATAACAGTTTTAGACGATTACCAGGACCCTCTACCTTTGGAACTCCGCACCTTGGCACGACAGCTTTTGAGACCCTTCACCCCTAAACCCTCGACCCCTTTACTGTTTACTGGGCTTGGCATTTAGGGTTCAGAGAGGGTTTTAGGGTGTATACTCTTTACTATACTTGGAGTTATAGTGCGGATCTTGAGTGGAGTGCGATAGTGGAGCTTCTGAAAAATACCTTCCAAGGTTCGCATCCTGCGACTGGCGCCTGACAGGCAACGCCGGGAGCTGGCGTTTGGGGTTCCGGGAAGGCAGTGATTGGTGTCTTGCTGGCTGCGTGGATCTGTGGTCCATAGAAATAACTGTCAGCTAGGACATGACATCAACACTGCGTTAATCGCTCGACTGGTCATCCCTGTCTTTGAAAAAGAAATTGGCTCCTTGCTGCAGCAAAGAAATGTGTTTTCTCCGAGGTCGGGTGCCGAGAACTGGTGCACCGTGAGATAGCGATGCAAAACAACTTTGCAGCTGACCCGCCGGGTGATAGAGCGGCATGAAGACTCAGTACGCAACTGTATTCCATGAAGGTTCTTATACCTTTGCCCCATGAACCACACACCTCTACTCCTTTCAGGCCCCCTATATTTTCGGTTGTGCTTGGTGTTCGGTCTTCAGGTTTGCTATTCTTTAGGAGCTTTATCGTTACTTCGTGTGACTGTATGAGTTTTGGAGGCGGACCTTTAAGGCCAAACACGAGGGGATCCCTATGCCCACATCGGTCCGGCTATGTGTGTAGCGCTGTGCTTGGCCGAGCTTTGGTTGTCTGAGAAAACAAGCATTCAATCCAACCTATTTGACCACCGACTGCTTGCATTACGAGTGCATACTAGTTGAGTTGATGACGTCAGCACAACATCCGCAACTTCGAAATACCAATGAGTTTGTTTTCGACAGTGTACAGAGGCATCCACCAGGAGGTAATCCATGTCAGCACCCATAACACCACCACCCCGACCATGATCCACAATCACGAGCGCACTGTTATTTCCATGGCATTTCGTTTATGAATGGCAAATGGAGGCGGTTGACATTGATGTAGAAGCAAGAGCTTTTTCTCGGGGTGGCTGTTTGTGGCAGCAGTCGTCGCAATCCAAACCCCAAAACCCAAAGCCTAAACTCTGGCAGTCGGAAAAGAGCCCATGAAAACCAAGAAACAAAAAACTTTGGTCTGTGTCGGCTAAGACTGACGATGGCGGCTACAAACCCTAAACCCTAAACCCTAAAACCACAGAGATGCTCCTGCAATTGAACCCTCTGCTGCTGCGACTTCTATGTTCTGCCAGCATGGGCAACCTGCTTAAACGGTGACCTGAATACAGAGAGTAAGGTTTTCGAGTGTATTACAGTAGCGTTAACTGTATACGGACTATAAGGCTATAACTGGTGCTATTACTTATTAGTCAGACCATTAACCTCAGACCTCTTTTCTGCACACCGCCTGCCTCTTGAGTACTTATTGCCTGCCAACTACTGGCCACAAACTAGTGCCTGAAACGTAACCGCCACGCCACTCGCCACTCGCCATCGACTCCTGCAACACATCAAACCCGAATCAAACCACCATTCAATACCAGACCCTACATGTAAGCAACAGGTGCGGCACCCAACAGCGGATTGTGTCTAATGCCGTGGCTCGCCAGACTTAATTAGCCGGTTAGCCTCGAGAGCGCTCTCGCAGCTATCCGATGGATCCCGAGTGCCTGCCCCGGTTTCTTCATTGGCTGACGGGGCAAGCAGGAGGCATTGAGGCGCTGAGGGTTGAGGGCCAAGCACACCTCCACTCTCCGTACATACACATACATACATACATACACACACACATATACATATATATATATATTTATGTATGTATGTATGTATGTACAGATTGAAATGTCGTGTATATACATATACATACATATACAGCTTGAATTGACCGCGATATAGAATAATATCGTATATCGATATAGACCTACATACAGATATGGGTACAGATGCAGATAGATCTATAATATATATATATATAATCCCTTCCCACTATTATTAAAG